CTTCTACAGACAAAATATCTGAGGCACAAAGGGTAAGTAACTGGCCCAAGGTCATACCACTAGTAAATGGCAGAATTGTGATTTGAACCTTGGCCTTTTTCACTTTGTTAAACACCATGATATGGTTTGGCTCTCTAGTTTTACTGTTCTTCTTCTCAGTTAAATTGAATTTGTTTAGCCTGTGGTTAGGTTGCACAGACTAACTTAAAATGTTGCTTTTGCCTGAAATGGCATTACTCTTTGAAGGATGAAGTGGAGATAAATTTAATGATCTCATACCAATGAGAAGTTCTGTTAGCTAGATTAATGAAACAAATGGGAACACAGATTGTTATATGCTGCTTGGTAACACAATTTTTTAATAATATGGGTTCTTTTGAAGGGATTAGTTTAAAAATGCATTCTTAGTTATTTATAGAAATGAGGAAGTGGGGATCTTGTTATGCCCTTTATCATTATCTTCTTCATAAATGGTTAAGTACACATAGATCTCCCCTTCTCAATTGTGAGCTTCCCAGAGCAGGCACAGTGTCCTGTTTATTTGGCACTTTACTTTTATATCTTGTGCCTTACCTTGTATATAGATGGAGAGGATGCTGGAGAAAAAGAGCATGGACATGGGGTGAGGCAGACCTGAGCTTAAACCCCAACTGCTCCTTTTACTGCTTGGTTGGGGGTTGGAAAACTACAGCCTGTGGGTCAAATCCAGCTCACCACCTATTTTTGTAAATAATGTTGTTATTGGAATACGGCAACACCCATTTGTTTACATATTGTCCTACAATGGCAGAGTTGATGAGTTGCAACAACTCTGTAGTTGTGTAAAGCGTAAATTAGTAAATATCTGGTCATTTACAGAAAGAGTTTGATTACCCCTGGATTGGATGATTTTAGGCAAGTTCCTTAATCTCTTAAATCTTAGTTTCCTCATCTATGAAGTGGGATATTAGTTACCTAATAAGTTCACGTTAAGGAAGGGAGGTAAAGTATATGATGTTTCTGGCATGGAATCTGGAATGAATTAGGGCTTTGATATAGAATTCTTCTTCTACTAGAAGAATTTTTATTATTGATAATCAATTTGATGAATCGATATCCTGAAAGACACTCTGTCACTTCCTACTTTCTCATTCAGTTCTTTTACTACCTTTGAAGATAAGTGATGCTAGTACCATTAGTATGTTTGGTAGGTGCCAAAATTTAAGTGTATCAGGCATTTCACAGATTCTTAAGAAAACTCGGGCTGCTTTAACCTATTAAGTTTTAGAATTATCAGTTTTGTTCTTTGATGATAAAGTTCTATTTAAATAAAGGAGAGAAAGGTTAAAAATTGTCCTATCTGATATTGCCTTCTACTGGGCTATGAACATTAGTTCAAATTCATTTACAGATTAATGCATTGACAGGTTGACGTCTTTGTGCTTCTACCAGATCAGCTAGTTTGACCTATTTGAGGGATGGTGATTCCAAAAAATGATGTAACTGGACATGACTTTTTCTTTTTCCTACTTATTTTTTCAAAATTGAGTGAATTGAACAGAAACAATGATACCATATAAGATCATGTCAGTCACATAAATAACTTTACCTGGCCAGGAATATTTTTGTCCTGCACTAAGAAATACAATTTCTCAGGTAAATCATGGCAAAAATGACTGCATTTCCAATCACTGTTTCTTAACTCCATGATAAGTCACTGAAGACTGCAGCTTCCTTTTCTTAGTATTTCAGTATGTCAAGACGGTCTTTGCAATTTTTTAATCCTATGGTAATTTTCAAGATTTTCACTCTGCCCTATTTTGCCATATTTTCTCATTTATTTAACAAATTCATATGGCGGGTATACTCTCTATTATGTACCACAGTAGAGAAAGAGTAACATGACAGATATTCTCACAGTGTTCATTGAACTTACAATTTAGTGAGGATAACAGAAAGAGTTTAACAAATAGTTAACAAGGGTAATGAGAGAGAAGTAACTGAGCCAGGGGATTAGGAGAGCTTTCTTGGAGGAATCAGTATTTAGGTTGAGATGTCAAGAATGTTTTCAACTTAATTAATGAAGAATGGAGCCAGGTGTGTGTCTGATGTGTTTGGGGGCAGAGGGGACCTGATGAGAGGTTCCTGGGGTTTCTAAGCATGGAGAAGAGTGCAAAGTGAAGCTGGACAAGGTCAAGGCCTGATGATCCTGGCCCTTCAAGGCCACATTAAGTACTGAGAAGCATTAAAACCCACTCTGGAGGGTTCCAAGTTGACTGTGGGGTGGCTATTTCAGTATTTTAGGTCTGGTGAAGGATGCTGGTGTATCCTCTAAGGTGACAGCAGTGATGATGGAGAGAAGAAAATGCTTTTGGAGGTGGGATTGACAGAACTCAATTGGTTGGATCTAGGATGAGAGGAAAATTATGTCTTCCAGCTTGAGCTAGAATGGATAGTTAACTGCAGTGGTAGGAAACATTGAAATAGCATAGGCTTGCAAAGAAGATGTGAGTTCAGTTTTGCATGTGTGTTTGAGATGCCTGTGGAACTGTCAGTCAGGCATCTCAGGAGATAAATGTTTCAGGCTTTGCTTTTTGAGAATCAGGGAACTAGATCAGATGCCCAGCAAACAGATGTGGATAGAGAAGCGAATAGGGCCTATTACAGAAATCACAGTGTTTAAGGGGCGTGAAAGAGATGCCTGTTAAAGGAAGCTGAGGATCAACTGGAGATGGAGAAGCACAGTGAGGAGAGTGTTGGGTCATAGAAATCACAGGGAGAAATGGTTTCAGGCATGATAGGGAGAAACCCTTTCAGGCATGATCAGCAAGGTTGAATGCTGCTAAGAGGTCAGGTGAACCAAGGACTTGGAATTATCCATTAGATTTTGTGACGGAGAGGTCACTCATGGTCCTAGAAAGAACGAGTTTCATATTGTGGTAGGTGGGCGTCTTCTCAACTGTACTTGTAATTTTGAGTCTCTGTATTCTGCTTTAGAGGACTGTTTCCTCCCGTTGTAGTAGTGCTCTGCAACATGTGTACCTGTTAATGACCCTAATCAGGTGCTTTAAAGCAGATTCCACGCTGCTTTGCTGTATTTAACTCTGCTAACTTGTCCCTTTAGGCTTCTTCTCACTACCAGTTTCATTAATCAGGCATCTAATTCTCTTAGTGGCTGAGCTCCGCACAGCCCACAACTCTCCTTTGCTGCATTCCCACTTCGATGCTGCCTCTTTTCATATACAATGAAAACATTTGACCTCATGTTTTGTTTTCATTTTTATTCTCTCTCTCTGTGGAATGTGTGTTAAATTACTGAAAAAAATTGTAACTTTTTATGAAATTATGATTGAATAATTTGGATGTTATTGAATAGTTTGAATTACTGGATTTCTCACTTTCAATCTTTGGATTGTGAAACTTTCCTTTGATTGTGTGCTTCACCAAAACCAGTTATTTCAAAGGCCTCTGGAGTATGGCTTTGTGTTGTGCATAGAGAAAATTTTCCATTGAATTATCTCCTCCAGCTGGATTTATAATGGATTCAGATGTCTAAATATGGGGCAGCTTTTGCCACTCTGAGCCTTTAATAATCACCCAGGATGTTTCAAATGGATGTGCAGAGACATTCCAGACACACAAAACCATTAACATTTCTGGTGGTTTGCCTTTTTTGCTGCCTATTAAGAATTATACAGATATTTTGATTCTCCTCAGTTGTTTTGCTGTTGTTCTCGTCAGGAAAATAAAAACTATGGAGTTCGACACCCAGTTATTAGTAGTAGAACAGTTAGAGGGTTTCCTGTAAAGCTAGGCAAAACCGTCAGAATCAGTTGAGGAAGATCACCTTGGAAAACAGATAGAGAAATTTTATATGTGCAGCTTGGAGGACAAAAACCCCCAAATAACCTATAATGATTTTTTAAAAAATCTATTAATGCGGTAAATTGGGAGGACAAGCTTGAGGTTGAAAATAAAAACGTTACTTAGGTATTTAATGTAAAAATTCTAGGTCAACAGAAGGCATTGCATTGCGTTCTGGCCCTGTTTCCATGGACTTTTTCATAGGATTGAAGTGAGAAATGATGAATAAAGTCTGGATTTGTAGTAAAGGGAGTCATCGTGGAGTGAAAAAGTCTATGCCAATCTAAGACACATAAAAGTGCCAGACATGTAAACTTATTTGAAGAGGATAAAGGAAAACATTTCATGATGCTGTTTTCTGGGGCTGAATAGCCTGAGTTTATCAGAACAATTTTTCCAACACTGTTTGCCCACAGGAAGGTCTAAATGGTACTTTTCTGAAAAGAGTGTCTTTTAAAAAGAGCTTCTTGCTCATCCTTATATCAGAATGAAGCCTACTGGGGCCGGCCCGGTGGTGCACCGGTTAAGTGCACTCGTTCCGTTTTGGGTTCGCTGGTTCAGATCCCGGGTGCAGACATGGCACTGCTCATCAAGCCATGCTGTGGCGGGCATCCCACATAGAAAGTAGAGGAAGATGGGCACGGATGTTAGCTCGGGGCCAGTCTTCTTCAGCAAAAAGAGGAGGATTGGCAGATGTTAGCTCAGGGCTGATCTTCCTCAAAAAAAAAAAAAAAAAGGAATGCAGCCTACCAATACTCTAATTTTGCCAGCCTGTATATATGAGTGGATTCCTGGAGCACAAGAGAACCCGAGTCGTAAGTGTATGCTCTGTTCTAGAGTTCTAGTGTGTACCTCTCCAGGCTACCAAGTTCCCTGTGTCACAGCTTTCTCCCGAAGGTGGAGATTGAACACGATACCAGGATAAAGGTGGCTCCTTCTGGGAGATAGATAGACCAAGAACAGTTTTGGATGTATGCTTACCTTCCCACCTTTCTTTTTACTTTCTCTTCTTAAACTGCTCAGAGATAGGCCTTCATGAAGTTCCTGATTGTTTTAATTTTAAAATAAAAAATTAGAATTTATGGGAATATTTAGATAAACAGTAAGAACTTTTATTATATGGGTCTGATAATTGTGTGGTGTTTTTTCTCCCCCAGGAATGCTGTCTCTGCAATTTGAGAGGGGGTGCTCTTAAGGAAACTAAGAACAATAAGTAAGTAACGTTTTGTCTTGAATTTCATTGTTTCCTTCTCCTCTCTAGAACCTTGAACCTCTGGATGACAGTTTGCTTGACCTCTCTTCATTGTGCACATTGTTCCAAAGCATTTACTGTCCAGATCTGAGGCTGGGATTCTGTGCATGTCTTCAGCGACCATTACTGACAGCACATTCACCTCCGCTGGATGACAGTGTTCTATGTCTTGCTTCTGTTCTGTCTTTGACACCATGAAGAATAACCCGCTTTTACTAATGGAGTTTTTTAAATGAGGCAACGCATATCATGTAGGTGCCATTGGACTCCTAGTGTTTAATGTGATGAATCCTATTAGTCTAATAAAAACAGAATATGCCTGAAAACATTGAATTCTGCTATCTTCAGATAAATAAAGTCAATCATAGTCATAACATTAAAATAGAACCTTTACTTTTAACACTGGTAAATTAAGAAGAGATGTGTGTGTACTCAAATAGAAACACAGGGAGAAAACGTTGATTTTCAGGGGACCATTGGAGAATATGAAGAGAGTCTTGAAAGAGAATCAAAAGTGAACATAAAAGAAAAATAATCTGGTTTTTTGTGGCAGATGTTGAAATATATTTTTTGTGTGAATTTTATTTTCATGCCCCGATTTTAATATTTAAAATGGGGCCAAAGCATCTTAGAGGTCCCTTTGGAAATAGAAGCATGCAGAAATGGTTTAGGCAGGAGTTATAAGCTGACACTTGAGGGCCCAGATCCGGCTCCAAGATATGTTTTATTTGACTGACATGCTGTTTTACAAATTTGATCCAAATTTTGAAAGTTGAGAGATTTTATGTAAAAATCCAGATTTTCACCTTTACTTGAAAAATGATTGTGTATCTCTATATGGCAATAACAAGTTGGGATGAGAACTGGCCTAAATGGGGCAGACACTCCCCAGATTACCATGATTTACCAGTTTGTGGCCCCATGGGCACTAGACTTGGGACCGTGGTATACTATAATGATGGAGTTAGCATAATTATGTGCATGTGCACATGTTTCTGGTTGCATATAAGGAAAAGTAAAGGCATTTATCATTCCTACGTTGATAAAGTTTAGTCTAACAAACTGTATTTTTGCTTAATTTCAGATCTTCATCTTTCACAGTCTTAGTTAATGTGATTGGCACTATACTAAAAAGTGTTGACTGGTTCTAGGATGCTGCATAGGTCATGCAGACTGTGAGATGATTTAAGTGGTTCCTATGAAGTCAGAGATGATAAGAACGTCTCTTCCTATCTTAAGCTAGAACAAAAAGCGATAGTGTTTGCTATAGAATTATAGTATTTATTTAGATCTTAAAGAATGCCCTGATGGGGTTGACACTTGTCTTCTCTTCCTGTGGTCTTTAAAAGGCAGGATGGAATCTTATGTTGTTTGAGTGAAATAAATATGCTTTCACTTAAAAATAGATTGATGGATTTGATAATTCTTCCAAGATCTCTTTGAACCTCAAGAGTCTTTATATTTATTTGGGGAATAACATTTATGAGAAACTTAATAGTGCTAATGGGAACATTGTTATTTTTCTGAAGTAATTCAGAATTTGAAAGGAGATATGCTAGGTTTTAAGTAGGAAACAAGGGAACAAGCTAAAGTTCATTTCTCCTTATCTCTAGGTTCCTTTGATTATAGTAGGATTGCAATGAGAAACAATTTAATTAAAGACTTAATCAGCATTAATTCTTTTAGAAAACTTTTGGTGTTTGTTCTAGTTTGCTTAATGACATTTGTATTATGTAATAAGATTATATGCTGTACCCAGTTCATACCTTTTATTAATTGAACTAATCTTTTGCCACATGTTAATTAGCTGAAGTGTATTAAACACCTCTATATTTCAGTATCAAATGGAATAGCAAATTCCATTCCTGCATTTCAGTATTTTGCAGAGCAAGTGTAGGAAAATATATGTATATTGTTAAGACCGAGTCTTTGGTCTTCACTGAGTTCTTCATGTCACAGTGGTGGGCGGGTGTGGTACTGAAGCTGTCGAGGTATCATCGCATAGGTTTAAAATTCTAAGTGTGTTTGTGATGGATTTAGGCTTCTGGCTTTCTTTGGCATCTGTGTGCTTCCCATCTGTGAGAACTGCCATCGCCTGGTTGGAGTACGAGGTATGTAAGTTTAGGGAACGTTTGTTGACGTTTAATGTCTCCTTTCCTGTAGGTGGGCCCATGTCATGTGTGCCGTTGCAGTCCCAGAAGTTCGATTCACTAATGTCCCAGAAAGGACACAGATAGATGTAGGCAGAATACCTTTACAGAGGTTAAAATTGGTGAGTGGCAAAGCTTCTTTTTTACCTCATAAATGAGTGTGAATTTCATCTGAATATTTCTATTGATGCACACATTCCCAAGATAATTTTTCTCTTAGCTTCATTTTACTGTTCTACCCCTTTTTTTCCCTTTAGCTTCAATTTACTTATCTGTACATATTCTTTTTTTGTTGTATTGTAAGTATGCTTATAACGTTCCTCAAATTATGTTTGAAATGAAGCAAAGGAATAGTACTACATTTCCTGGATTAATGTGAATTTTCAAACTATAGGCTTTCTGGTGAGTTTCATTAGTAATGGACCTGAGCTATCCAAGTATCTCTATTTAAATTGTTTAGTTTTTCTCTCTCGCCTGTCTTTGGTTGGTCTTGACTTGGCAAAATGCGTCTAACCTGATTTTATTATCTCTTCACCCAGAAGAGACTTTCAGAGAAATACAAAAACTTTTATATTACCAAGGAATTTTCTCACTTACAAATAGATACAAGTCATTTAATTTGCCAAACTCTCTGAGTTTCTTCTGACCTGTTTAGAAACTTTCATAAAAACCTTCCCGCTGGTTCTCTTTGTTAAGAATATTTTTCATTGACAAGACAGGGCTTTAATATCCTCAACATTGAAGTAACCTTGGAGTTCTGTTAAATTGTGAGACAACAGATCATTAGTTTAGACCCTTGTATTTCATATTTAATGAGAATCTTTCCTAAAGTTAAATTTCATGACCGTAAAATACTGGAGCGTGTCTTACATGTGGACTTAATACCCTAGAATTTCTTCAGTCTTTGTTATTCTTTCCACTATAGAATATTCCAGGCATTGTAGCTGTCATTCTACCCAACTGTTACTTGTTTTGTTACTTCCCCCGTGGGGAGCTGGGTGTACTATCTCTGCACCTCTGTCTCAGGCACTTAGAATCTAGTCTACTGCCTTTTGTTCTCAGAGAAGGGAAAGTGAACACTATTATTTCCCATTATGGCACCGTTGAGAATTTCACATTGCTGGAAATTATGTGGCCCTTTAAGGACCTGATGATTGCTGTTGGCAGATACAAGTGGTGGGACCAGGATACTCAGGCTGTAGTAATGGAAGTTTTGTGAATGAGGTGGAAATGAATGGGCCATTTAAATGGGCTTGTAGTCACTATCAGAAGAAATTAAAATTCTTTAGCTCCTGGACTTTCACAGGAAAGTTTGAAATCTCATATCTTGGTCACCAATTTAAAAAAAAAAACGCCAATAAGAAACGAACAAAAACCATTTGACAGAATTAAGACAATAAGGCAGGATATAAAAAAAATGTTGAGTTCACCACGTGTTAAAGAATTTAATGTTTAGTGTGACAGATATTAACAGTTTTAATATTTTTCTGATTTATAAGTAATAAGTATTTGCAAAAATTAAAATATCACATTTAACAATCACCTTTGGTTCTGTCTGAAAGATGACTTCTGTTAGCAGTTTAATGCCCCTCAGAATGAGTAGTCATTACTCTTGATGCTTATCTTTATATTGGACCTGTATCCTGGCTGCTCTTGTCCACGAATGCTTCCTTAATGATGTATCGTTACCCACACCTGTCCCAAAGGGGTTTTATAGGAAGAGCAGAGAGGAACAACATGGATCATTTCAGTGCCTTTCAGCAAGTTGTAACTAGAAATCTGAAATCTGATGATTGCGGCTGAAAGTGGCAACGCTTATTGTTTTCTTCACAATTCTGTGTCTCACTTTGATTGTGTATATCACATCTTCCTTATGGAATGATTGGTACCTTTAGAAGAATATGTCTTGACTGAGTTTAAGATCAGCTAAGGTCGGTTTCAGATGACAATGTAGAGCAACTTATTAACATGCAGATGTCCACAACACATATTTAGGTGAAAATAGCATGCTGTAGATCAGATTTTTTTCTGTTTTTGATACAATTTATATGTATGGATAGTTTCTTGGAATGCTATTTATCAAAATGCTCCGAGTGGTTACCTCAAGTGGGAAAATACAAGGAGAAACTTTGTTTCAGGGGAAAAAAACCTGTAATAGGAAAAAAAAAAAATGCTGTAATAGTTTGAAAGGGGGCAAAACTGGATGACTTTTTCACCAAGAATCCTCAAGATAGCACCGTCACCCTGATGAATTTCCTACACGGTAGTGTCTGGGTCCCAGTCTTGCTCAGTGTCCCTTGGTGATTAGACTCAGACAGGCTTTGAATAACAAGATTTACAAATGATCACTTGTGTGTAGGGTGGAATGCACTAAGTAAATATTTCCTAAGTAAATATTTATGGAATGAATAAAAGGCATCAAATTATTTATTATTTGTGCTTCTGGCTTAAAATTTTTGTGGCTGAAGGGTTTGATCAGACAATGCTGAATGGCTTGTGCCTTTTTACAGTTTCTCCCTTAAAAGTCGTGGTGGTAACTTCCTGCTCACCCCTCTGCATGCTACCCTAAAGCGAGACATTGGTCTCCTTATTGGCATCACAGGGGAGCTGTGGTTAGGGCATGTAGACTAGCAGTGCTTCAGATAGCCTACGGAGCACGGATGCAGCACTTGCTCTGGTGTCTGAGAGTTCTGATCTTGGAACCTCTGGTCAGTTGGGGATTGAAAACTGGGGTGACCTGATGTAGGTTGGACAAACTGCTCATCCATGAAGCAGCAGCAAGGGGGACCCACTGCCCACTAGGTGGTGCTGCTGCACCAGTTTCTCATCCCATTGCCCTTAACTCACCTCCCTCAGCAAGTGCCTACTCATAGCCCTGCCCACACTTGTAGAAGGGGGTGTGTGTGAGTGTAAGTGTGAATGAGTATAAGAGTGTGTGTGTGTTATGATGCATGCTGGGCTGCTGTAGCCCAAGGGATGGCAGAGGGGCAGGGAAGAGCTGCTTGCTGTGTATTCAAAGCGCTGAATTCCAGAGGGCAGTTTTTCAGTTCAGTTTTTTATTTAGCCATATAAAAAGAGCTGCTTTCCCTTGGGGCAAGTTAGTGTTTTTCTGTATAAGTAATAAGCAACACGAGTAACAGCTAGTAACTGCAAGAGGCTTAAAGAAAGGCTGATGGCAAACATGAGTTTAAAATGTCTTCTGAAGTATGAAAGCTGTATATAAAAAATGCTCATTATTATTAGCAGTCTTTCTAGAATAGGGAATACTGGAGTTTATGCGGAAGTGTTTGAATATTTTGGTAATACTGTTGCTGGCCTTTTATTCATTCATCGGTTCAACTTGCAGCTTTTGAAATGCCCATCTATACAATTATTTGTGTAGAAAGATTTTTGTAGAGGATGTAAGAAAGGATTTGTTTACTTTAGCAGATTTTCTCTCTTACTTACAATGACCATTTCAAAAGGAGAGACAGCAAATGGAAAACAGCCCTTTCAGTACACTCCAGTGGATTAGGTTGATCCTAAAACGGTGTGTGCTTTATGAAGAACCTTTATCTCAATCAGCCACCTGGTCTGGTAATATCACAGGTGTGGCTTCTTTCTACTCATCAGATAATTAAATAGACAACAGTGATGACACTAGATTTATTTTCAAGACATATTTTATGTGGCTGATAATTTAAAATACTTCTTAAATTTTATTAATTTTTTAAACTAAAAAAATTTTATTGCAAAAATATATTTGGCTTTAGTGGTCTTTTTCCAATTAGTTCTTTCTCTCCTTTCTTTAGCAATATTTAGCTTTTGTGTAGAGTAATTATCTCAGGGGTTATTAAAGTAATTGCTGCCTCATCTAAAAAATGCTACAGGTTACTATCTAAAAGCACCAGGTTATTAAGCAGAGCCATCCTTTTATAGGGAAGAAATGGCTGAAATAACTTTATATCCAAAGTCATAGCCAAAACGGAGAACCATTTTCTCTGTCAGCCAAAGCATTCTTCTGATTATTAGTGCAGATTCTAGATTACTTAGTATTTTTCTTACCTACTTTTTTAGAATGAATTCCTTTGCTTCTGAATGACTTTACAGTATGAGAACAGTTATCCTTGTGGCAAGTCCTGTCATCCCCAGCCCCCTCCCCATGTCCTCCAGTACCTTCTCTGCTCATCCAGTGAACAGCAGAGCATGGGCCCCTGGTGGGAAGAAGAGCGAGGAGGGTGTGAGGACCTTTCCTTCACCCTCAGGGATAGCCAGTCTAGGCGTTCACCTGGAGTCACAGATGATTGGTATGCCTGAGGACAAAAAGAAAACAATTGCCCCCATGTCGTCTACATTTTAGAATTTACTCAATCATTTCCTTTTCTTACTTCCTTGTGTCTTATTTTCTCTACTAATATGATTGATTGGCCATGGTCATAACTGAATCTCTGAATGAGGAGCAAAAATGAAAACACAAAGGAAGTAGGGTAGTATAAAACACACATGAAGTTAGAATGTCTTTTTTTGGTTTTCACAATAGAAAAAATACAGGAAAAAATGATCAGGAAGAAGAATTAAGGACAGGAATTTACAGGGGACAAACAATGTTTTTGTAGTGAGGTCACACAGAGAACAGCAGTGTCATCTGCTGGAATGATCTTCAGGGACGATATCATCTTTTGGAAGCAGATCAACAAAAAAATCTTTAGATTTGATTATAAAATTTAAGGGAAGAACATTGAAAAAAAACCCAGCAAAATAAATAAAACGGCATGAAGTTCTGGTATTTGTTACATACTTACCATGAATGTCTGTTACATACATTGATCGATTCTTGAAGGCTGAATTAATTAAAGATCTATGGAATTTACATAAATAAAACAGCAAGGAAAGTTTGTGGATTCTAAGAAATCCTGGAAAATTGCAGCAGACCCTCAATGCAACTGTTAGTTTTAAACATTTTTTCTATTTGGAGAGAAAGTTACATATTAAATTGCATGTATCAAAATAAATGCTGTCTATCTTGATTGCTGTGATTGCGTTAAAAACTTGATGATGTTCCTTCACCACACATCCCTCCTCACGGTCACATAGCACAGTGCCTTGTTTCTATGTCTGTAGACATTCCTATGATTTTTACATT